GAGAAGAACCCATCCAGAAGACCTACACAATTTTTTTCTTTTTGATTTTTTACCTGGATTACTGTGATGCATCAGGATGGAATGAAGGAACTTGAAACTCCTGGTCCGTTCTCTCTGGCTGCTGTTTCTAAACTACTTGAAATAATAAAATGTTATCTCTTGTCCTGACTTTACAAACTTCTGATTGGCTGAGAGATAGTCACATGGGGTGTCACCTGCTTCACTGACATCACGATTCTGCTGCTAAAATGATTGAACAAAACTCAGATTGACGTGGTTACCTGTACAGTGATTAAATCAAGATATCATCACAGTGATTGAGTCATGATAGAAAAATACATTGTTTCTTTTCCTTCTTTTTTTTTAATCAGACAACCAAACAACAGAAATTTACCCAGAAAAACATTTGCTCATGATGTGATTATGAGACTAGCCTTTAGGGGCGCTCTAAGACCATAAATGAAATTGTATGTTAGGCATATCTTTGAAGATAGCTCGTGGGCATTATCTCAGCAGGGGACACAGTCTCTTAGGGTCTAGATGTAGATTGTAAACCCACTTCTGGAGACTTTCCGTCTGGGCAAATGGTTGGTCCTTTGTTATAAAAGGCCATTTTGAACACTTAAARGGGATCTCACAACAGGGCTTAATCAATGGAAGGTTGCAGTTCCTGTTTATTTTAGCATTTGTTGCCAGTGGAGAAAAAGGGCGAGGCCAGTGGAGAAAGCCATTGTTCTCAATAGATATGGGAGGAGGAGGAAGTATTGATTCAAAGTTTTTGAGTGGAMCTGTTTTCTTACGTTCCTGCTACACATGCATAGGGGAAAAGTCAAAAATAAAACAGTAACAACACATTTTTTAATCCCTTAACCTCCAACGTCCTGCCCATGGTACATAGATCTGGCATTGCTTGTGGTTACTTTCTCCGTATTTATAGCCTACCGGGACTTTGGATTAGCATAATAGACTGTTCGAACAATTTGATTGGTTGTCTTCTTTTGACTGACACCTCTTTTGACCAGCTGGGTTCATCTATAGACTCTCTAGATCCCAAAATGTGTGGCAAGCCCCTCATGCCCGAACGTCCATGGAACACGTGATTGATTGGCTAGAATCGGCCAATCAGCTCTGAGCTTCATTCTGACACCACAGCTGCGTAGCCAATCAAGTTATCTTTTATTCAACATGCAGTTTTGGGGGGGGGGGGGGRGTTAATGGTTWWAGTGTATTTTAACTTCAAAAGCCAAATACTAGTTACAGTTACAAAAATTATAACTGCTGAAGTAAAAATTCAGATTGATAGATTTACATAGAAACTAGGCTTGTGAATTTTCTACAAAGTGTTCAAGAGCAGTACTTAATTTAATTTAATTTGGGTTAGGGTTAGGCCCACAGGTTAGGTTGATAAATCCATAAACATTTGTCTTTTTATGACAGCTTAAATTAAAATGTGTTTGAAAACCATAAAAATGCTACAATCCAAAGCCAATAATCATAGTGTTTCGGATTAAACTATAACTTTTCACRATGTTTAACTGCCATCAATATGCTTAACTGCTATGGTACTTGTTTTCAGTGGTGGGCAGCGCTAAACCAAAAATTAGCTCTGCAATTTCTAAAGCACTTATGAAAATATTTAGGTCTCAATTTCAAAAATGCTTTTGCCATAGAAAAATTAGCAGAAGTTAATTCTAAAGCACAAGTTCAATTTGATACTTGCTAGCTGGCAACAATTGTACAATGTATGTACAACATTGCCCACTAGCAGTGTACAGTGTACAGTGTACTTGTACAGCTTAATCCTACAAGTGTCGATTGCTGGGGATGTGATTTCCTGAAACAGAACTTTGGCTCCTGGTGTAAAAATTAAAAAGTTGTTGAGGATTGCTAGTTCGGCTGCTTCTTTGTCTTTTTCTTTTGTTTGTTGTAAGATTTTTCATTAAAGAAGCATCAAAAAAGCGATTTTAAATCTGTTTATTGGGAAACTGAAGCGATGCATTCTGGGTATACATGACGGATTTGATTTGTGACAGGAAATGAAAGTTTTCCATGTAGTTGCTCCAGTTGACCACTAGATGTCTGTCTAACCCCGTTGGTGGATTGCTTCGACCAATTACATCAAGTATTGAGCTCCAGCATTTAAACTTCTTTTAAAAAGGAGCTCCGATTGTAAAGTAAAATAAATCAATACATACAAGATTTTAGTATGGATTACAAACGTTTACTGTTTTTGCTGGGAAATGGAGTACTAAACATTGCCTTYCTGTTATATAAGCAGACACAAAGCATTGTGGGAAATGAGAACCGTGACCGAGAGCAACTGTCAGGAAGGATGTATACGTTTCCAATACATGTGTTTAACTGGGAGGGGTACTGTTGGGCAGATCACGTGTGTTGTGATTCATTGACAGCCATACCTTCCGCCATTCAAGATAATGATGACTGGTAGATAATTAGTTATTAGCGGTACTGCATTTTAATTTTAGAAAGTGCAAATCCGCTTACRAATTGTAAAAATTAGTAAGACTGTTAAAGCGCAAACAAAATATTTAGGTTAGCAGATTTGCACTTTAGTTGACTGGTGCCCACCACTGTTTGTTTTTCTTTCAGTAAGAATTGATGTTGTTATATAACGATATTCTTGTTTTATTGAGCACAAATTTTATATCTTTTTGAAACTTAGTGGTGCCAGTAGCTGATCAAACCTTTACTAATACTTGGTGATGTGTCAAAACTTAGACCTCCATAATAAAACTTTCTGTCCTCTAATGTGACCTCATTGTTCAGATCTGAATGCCAAAGGCTGTGTCCACCAGGCGTTTGAAATGTATCGTCTCAAGTCTTGTGTTGACTTCAAGCCTTATGAGGGAGAGAAGACCTACATCAAGTTTGAAAAGAGAGGAGGGTATGGCAGAGACTCGTTATGCAAAACATACACTACCAACGTCAGTCTTATCAACTAAACTTAGACTAAATTTAATCTGAGCACACAGTTAAATATGTATATAAGGACATTCTGCCTCGTTGAATACTTAAGGCTGGTTTATACTTCCACAAAATATAAATGGTAAATGGACTGTACCCAACCAGGAGACTAATCAGTGCCAGTTACATTCATACACTGATGGGATACACATCAGAGACAATGGGGGTTCAGTGTCTTGCCCAGTGACACTTCAACATGTGACTGTGTAGAAAAAATGTGTTGTTCAAAATGGTATATCTGAATAAAACAGGAATCCACTGGATTTCTTTTTAAAACTTTATTCTCCATCTTCTGACTCCATTCAGGTTCACAGTACAGCACTCAGTGTAAGACCTTGAGCTAAAACAAAACACGTCAGCCCTGCTCTAAGCAGAGACTCTGCAAAACACTAACAACTTCTCTGTACTATAATAACGAATTGACCTTCTAATGCATTTCTCTTCCTGGTTACACCCCTGGAGGTGTGACCTTTTACGTCAAATGTAGAACGTAACCCATTTTTGTTCAGGCTAAAAGAAAGAACTCATAATAAGGCACACACCAACTCTTTGTCTGCTTTAACCTTACTATGGTCAGAAAGTATAAAACACAATACTGCATCAAACATTCAATTAATCAGTTACACAATTTCCTTCAACTGAATAGCAGGGAATCAAACCACCAACTGTCTGATTTAGAGGATGACTCCCTTAACCACTCAGCCACAGCCATCCTGTGGGATTTGTGAGACATCGGATCAGTGACGTCTTTTTCTTACCAAGTGTTCATCCTTGCATAGAAGACACAGGAAATATATCATCATAATCCCTCCCACAGCACTAAATTTAGAACATATAGCAAACAGCTAAGCATATAAACAACAACAGGGAAAGTAGGACTAATAGTTGTTTTTTTCACTTGAATATGTATTAGAGAGGCTCTTGTTGTTGGATGAGGAGCCTGAAGATACTCGTTCTTTTTTGTTAACCCCGGAGAAGTAATGAAGATGTGAACATCGGTTTCATTTAGCTGATTTAACAAAAAAAATAAAACTTTCAGGACTCGCTGTGCGCATACACAAAAACACCTACAAACTTTTAACCAATCACATCACACGATGTAAACTGCATTAGATTAGATTAGATTAGATTAGATTAGATTAGATTAGATTAGATTAGATTAGATTAGATTAGATTAGACCTTTATTGTCATTGTACAGAGCACAATGAAATTACAGTAGGACACAGTTCTGACTGGAGGCAATGAACAAGACAGGGTCTCAATGGGAGATAACAGACAAAGTTACACAATTTTTGTCACATGACATGAGAATGGAAGTATAAATCAGCCTTCAAAGTTGTTTTTTGTTATTTTGATTTAACCAGTAAGCTTTAAAATGTCTCATGGTTTACAGTTGTTGTACCTATTATGTTCTAAAAGAGTCTGGTTGTCTTTATGGCTGTCAGGTGCTTTTCTAGTGTTGGCGACCAGCAGACTGGTCAGATCTTGTCTTTGGGACCAGGTTGTGACCACAAGGCTGTGGTTGAGCATGAGCTGCTTCACGCTCTGGGATTTTACCACGAACAGTCCCGCACAGACAGAGATGACTACGTGGACATTTGGTTGGACCAGGTTACACCAGGTGTGTACAATAACTGAATGGTCCCTCACATAAATATTTTTGTTTATTGTTTTATTCTTTGTTTATTTTTGCTGGTTTGTCTAACTAAAAATGATATTGTCCCCTGTAGGACTTGAGCACAACTTTAACAAATATAACGACGACTTCATCACCGATCAAAACACGGCATATGACTACGAGTCCATCATGCACTACAGGCCTTTCTCCTTCAATAAGAATGAATCAATTCCCACTATCACCACCAAAATTCCAGAGTTCTACAACATCATCGGCCAGTACCTTGACTTTAGTAGGATGGACACCCTCAGGCTCAATCGGATGTATAACTGCTGTGAGTAACTGTGGCAAAGTCAACTTTTTTTGGACTTCTTTCTCAAAAAGTCAGCTAAACTTTCAAACTTTCCCTCTTTTGTACCTCAGCTGGCCCACTCATCCTTCTGGATCAATGTTCATTTGAATATGCAAGCATCTGTGGGATGATCCAAGGCTCTGTGAATGATGCTGATTGGGTCCGTACCAAGAGTAGCATTGATACAGAAGATCACACACTGCTGGGAAGGTGTAGAGGTCAGAATTGAAAAATATGGCTAAAATAGAATTCAAATTACTGTTCAGAGATGTGACTTTCACGAACGAGACGAATCTTTTGAATGGCTCTTTACAACGAATGATGGAAACCGAGTTGCGGGCAGCATAAAGCTGCTTGTAGATTTTTTTAAAAGCCTCGTAATGTATTTATTTTTTCCTCCTTAACCACAGAGACAATTGCTCCCCCTTTGTTTCTTCAAGGAAAACAGGCAGAGCATTGGAGTAAAGCAGTTCGGGGGAAAGSGGGAGGGGGTTCCACTTGACAGAACACATGGTTCCACCCACATGACGTAATGACGTATATCACTACATGATGGGACATATTTAAATTGAACAGTTCTATGAAACAAATGGCTTCAAAATAAACATCCAGATTAAAGACCCATTTAGTCCATCTTTATTATTGTTAAATGTCAGTTCATACAACCAAAAGACTGAATGAATGTCTAAAAGAAAAGGTTTAGTCATGAAAAAAAGAAAATCCATCCTCCTTCAGTTCTAAAGTTTAACATATCAGGACATAATAAAAACAATCTGGTATTTGCAGGATCCACAATTTTCAAATCTAACTAATTGTACCAAAACACAACAGATTCCACCATGTTGTCATTTAACAAAGCCAAAATGAAAAGAAATAAATTATGTGAAAAACAAAGTCAACTCCATGATTCAACAAACCGAGAAATTATTTTCTGTAAGACTTAATCCATCTCCCAGATCATTGTGGAGAACAGTCGGCCCACTCTTCCTTACGTCATTGCTTGAGTTGATAGAGGTTTGCAGAATGTCCTACCACAGTACTTCAATTAGACTGCAGTGTGGACTTAGATTGGGGCACTGCAACACCTGAAACCTTGTCTTTTAAAGCCATTCTGTTGTAGATTTGCTGTCATACAACCATCTGTTAAATGACCCAATCTCAGACAAGTTTTGGTAGTCAGTCAGATGGCCTCACATTTGACTTGAAAATAGTTTATGTTCAACTCAGGAACTGTTTGGTGCCCAAGTCCTGTGGCTTCAAAAGGTACAAAAACCCTTCCCCCCATTTTTGACAAATGTGGCACCAGACAACTTTGGCTTCATCAGGCTAAAGAACATTGGGCCTCATGCAAGAACTGTTCGTACGCACAGATTTGTTCTTAAGTTGTGCGTAYGAGTGATTTAGGAGAATTTGTGGCATTCACCAATGTTTTCGTATTCTAAGATTTTCTTCTGATACGAACAAAATTCACGAGTGGTCCAGACCTGTCGTATATTTTACCAGCAGTCAGTCTGCTGTTATCCAGAAGGGTTTCCCCCCCCTAATAGCTTTATATTTCATTAGTTTGAAGATATTTTGAGTTGAAAATAAATCATACTCTATGACAATAGGCTATTCTGCTTGAATTAGAGTTATAATTTTAAATGTAATAATTTAGACTAACAATATAAATTGTCCGTCCGTCCGTTTTCTGCCGCTTATCCGGGATCTGTTCGCGGGGGCAGCAGCAGAGAGACCCTGCTCTCCCCAGCGACACTTTCCAGCTCGTCCTGGGGGACTGCGAGACGCTCCCAGGCCAGAGGGGATACGTAATCCCTCCAGCGAGTCCTGGATTTTCTCCAAAGTGCCAGACATACTGTATTTTGAAAACATTTTAAAATGCTTATTTCAGAACTGCAACTGAGACCACCTGCGACCATGCGGGGGTGGGGGTGGGGGGGGGTATGGTGCATGACGGTGTGGCCTCTGAATAAATGAAAATAATTTAACACAGTTATTTATACTTTTARCAGCTCCTTTTATTAGCTCAACAGCTGACACTGAAAAAAATGACAGATTTTCTTTTCTGGATCTCTGACAGACGGACTTCAGTCTCTGAACTCATAAAGTTCTTTTTACTTTTCGCTGTCATTTTTTCATGAATGAACACTTCCTTGTATCTGAGGCAGGAAACATAGCCTTATATGGTGTTTTTGGGGTGGTAATTATGCTAATCTCTCGCGTGCACGAGCAGCTGGATACGAACAGGTGGAGTTTACGCAGCTCATTTACRCACTTTTCCTGAAGATAGAATAGTTTCTTGAATCTGACGTGACATGTTCGTACGAACCCTTYGTACGAACAAAAGTAAGAGAAATTTAGGATAGGAATACAAACATGTTCTTGCATGAGGCCCATTGTTCCAGAGGTCTTATGGTTCATTTAAGTGCAATTTTGCAAACTTAAGACATGCTGACATCTGAAATTGCATAGATTCTAATAATTTTAGAATTAGCTAAAAACCAGATCATTTTTATTGTGTCCTGTGACATTAAACCATTAGAACTAAAGCATGGTGGATTTTCTTTTTCCCCATCACTGTACGTGTTTTACGTATCATTAGCCTCATAGCATATATGCCTAAGTCATTCGTGACCAAATATGTCTTGAGCAATTATACTATGAGGCTAACGATTTTGTCCTGTTTCACTGATGTGCCAGATGCTGGGTACTTCATGTACTTCAACACCATGGCTGGGGAGCCCGAGCAGTCTGCTTTGCTGGAATCTCGAACACTTTATCCTAAAAGGAAGCTTCAGTGTCTGGAGTTCTTCTATAAGATGACTGGAAGCCTAAAAGACAGGCTGACAATATGGGTCAAGGTGGATGACGGCACAGGCAGTGTCCGAAGAATGAGGAAAATACACACCATTTATGGTATGTAGTGGACATGTTCAGCACAGATAGTTCACGGTACATCTCTTGAGCTTCAAAGTGATATTCTTTCAAACTCCAAACTCAGATTTGCATTGAGGCTATGTGCCTTTTAACACTTCTACAAATGTTTAGATGGTTAAAAATAACATTCAAAGGATTTTATTTTTAAGTATCTGTATATGATTGGTATCTTTTCAAATGGGAATCAAAGAGTTCCTGCAGTCAGGGGTGGAATGTTTTGAACAGTAAATTTAATGTTGCAACATTTTGTCAGTGAATCTACAACAAAAAAAAGTAAGCTAGATATGAAACAGGTGATTAGCCTAACTGGTTCAAAAACTTACTCTCCTGTCACATTTTGTTAGTGTTCTAACATAGTACATGACATAAAATATATTGTTCAGAAAACACTTAATCTGTTGGATGAATTTTACCAAGAGACTTAGACTTTGAAAATGTCAGAAGTCCCTTCTCCCTTAGGAGAGAAACTCTGGTATGACTCATTAGGGGACGAGATGCTCAAAAAATAGAAAAAGTTTATTAACATAGGTCAGTTTCACAGACTTCACAGGCAAAAATCTCAAGAACGTCTGCAAAGCAGGTAAGGGTCATCAAATAACAGGTTACAGCAAAACTTGTGATTTACGGAAACTTGGAAAGGTGCTCACAGAACATGACCTGACAGGAGACAATCAATGCACTCACAAACAGACAGACACAGAACAGAACTTAAATACACTGAGGACTGATAGGGGAAGTGGAAACACATGGGAACATAGTCAGAGTAGAGGGGAAACACCAAACAGAAGGCAGACAGAACCAAACGAACCCCCACACTTAAGAGAGACCCAAAAAGTACCAGTTTCAAGAACAAAGAGGTTTTGTAAAGCCATAGAACCAGCAGAGGGACACAGTTGAGTCATACCATAAAGGCAAAGAAAACAATAGTTGAAACTAGTATAAGATGCTAGGTAATCAGTGAGTAATCATGTGGTTTCATGTTGTGAAAGAGCACAACATGTGAGGGATTTCTCAATATTTCCTCTTCCTTTATTTTTACCCAGGAACTTCGGAGAACACATGGAAGATTGCCCATGTCCCAATAGAAGTAGGAGTTAAGTTCCGCTATGCCTTTCAAGCCGTGCGTGGCAATCCCTCTGGGTCCTCTGGAGGCATCCTCATCGACGACATCAGCCTGACCGAGACACGCTGCCCCAACACTGTGTGGACAATCCACAACTTCTCCAAGATACTGGAAACGGCTGATACTAATACAGTAATCGACAGCCCTCGTTTCTACAGCCAGGAAGGCTATGGATACGGTGTACGCATCAAGCCTTTGTCTGGTTATACTGATTACACGGGGAACTATGTCGGGCTGTACTTCCACCTTACCAGTGGAGAGAATGATGTAGTGATGCAGTGGCCAGCTGTGAACAGACAAGCCACTTTGGTGGTGATGGACCAAGATCCAGATATTTTGCAAAGAATGTCTTCTGCTCGCAGTCTTACCACCGACATGAGGCAAAGTAAGTCCTGAGGGGAGATGGCATAAAGGTAACACGACATGCAAACAATGAAAAGTATCTGGAATGAGAAGCCAAATGATTTCAGGATTAATACATTTTTTTCTTAATTCAGTTGCCTTTAATTCATCTTGCCATTACCAGTCGGTCTTGGATGATTGAAAATTAACAGAAAATAGTATTTTCAAATTTGCTATTTCTAAACATTTATCTGTGTATTTGTATGAAGTATGCAATTCTGTACATTTATGAGCATAACATGTTGGGGTTTTTTTTAGACAATCTTAGTCCATATCTTCTTTTGTCTTCAACATAGATTGGTTTGTGCACATCTGTGTTCTTTATGCTGAATCAGTATTTCCATCTTGAAACATTTTTCTTGTATTCTATGTGAACATGGCCATAAGTCAAGAGTGACTCAATAATCTGCTTGGCCTTTTTTTTTTTTTTTTTCAGGAAATGCAATCTGGATTTATTTTGTCTTTTCAGAGTTAGGATCACCTCTCACTTAATGATTCTGCTATTTTTATGTAGCATCTGATGGGAAGTTTTTCTGGGACAATCCTTCCAAGGTGGGAACATACGACTCAGCCTGTGATTGCTACAGAAGCGACTCATGGGGCTGGAGAAACTTCATCAAGCACTTTGACCTCGGGCGGCGCAATTACCTGAAGAATGATGATCTTATCATCTTCATTGATTTTGATGGTTAGGAGTATTTTTTCAAAATGTCTATGGAAAATGTTTAAGCAAGGTTGTTCTAAAGCTGGTAAAGCAAATTATCTTGTCTACAGATTTAACATCACTCATCAAAACTGAAGTTCCTGTTAAGCCAAATGAATAGGATCATCAAATGGACTTCTATATTGCAGTAAATTGGTAATACTCTGGGCACTTTATTCATTTATTCTCTGATAATCACAAAGTAATTATAATTTTTTATAATCTTTTTAGGAAACTGGATGAAGCATACACAACTGGGATGTGAAGAATTCCATATAAGGATTGCTGCAGTATTACAATTAAACACACAATTTAAAATGTTTTAATTAAACTAATAACCAACAAGCCAGTGGATTGTTTTGTTTGCAAAATGACTGATATAGTTTAATGTTAGGAATGCATTTTCTGGGGTTTGTTTCTATTATTTTTAACATAAATGATAAATTAATATAATTCCAAGTTCAAATGGAAAATTTTACAATTATCACTGAAAATAAGAATGCACCAAGCAGCTGGCCTGAAACCTGTATTGCGTGGTTTTCAGCTTGTTCGACTAAAACCAAAGACCGTCCGAACAAATAAGGACCCCCAGACACTTTGCTGTTTCATATGCTAAAAGGAAATAAAGCAATTTTACTAACGAAAGTTCAATCAGGAAAATTTCATAAATGGCAGTGTATGTTTTTTATTTATTACAAAATGGGTTAAAGAAGCAATATTATGTGTTTCTCAGGCATATATTTAAATACTATACTATAGTAAAGTATCTATGTCACCTTTAGTTGTTATTAAAATGCTGTTTTTGTGTTTAAATAGAAAATAAACTTGTCTTCCCATCACTTCCTATTCTAAATGCCCTGAAATTGGCCT